GCAAAGAGCTGTTCCGTGTTGTTTATCCCCCCACAACCCTGGGCCAGAAGCTCGGATTGGCCCGATCTACTGGGACTGTTTCAAGGGCACCGAGCTACGCCGTACCGAGATTGCCTGCGTCGTCTTTGCCGGTCAGATTCTCTGCGGTATTGCGTTTGCCTACAACAGCTCGTACTTCTTCTCGCAGATGGGTCTCGGCACCAGCACCACCTACTCTCTCGCGCTCGGTGGCACTGGCCTTGCCTTTATCGGCTGCCTGATCAACTGGTTCGTACTGATGCCCCGTCTCGGCCGCCGCACCATTTACGTCTGGGGTATGGCTGGCATGTGCTCTGTGCTTCTCCTCATCGGTATCCTCAACGTCTGGACCTCGAAGGAATCGGTCGCCATGGCGCAGGCCTGCCTCACCATGCTCTGGACCTTTATCTTCCAGCTCTCCGCCGGACAGCTGGGCTGGGCGCTCCCCGCCGAGGTCGGCTCCACCCGTCTCCGTCAGAAGACCATCTGCCTCGCCCGTGACTCGTCCAACATCATGGGCACCATTGGTGGCGTCCTGCAGCAGTATTTCATGAACCCCCAGGCCTGGAACCTCAAGGGCTACACGGGCTTCTTCTGGGCTGGCACCTGCTTCGGCGTCTTCGTCTGGAGTTACTTCCGCCTGCCGGAGACCTGGAACAGGTCGTACCACGAGCTCGACGTCCTCTTTGCCAAGCGGGTCCCGGCCAGGAAGTTTGCCAGCACTGTCGTTGATCCCTTTGACGAGCGGGACATTTCCGAGATGACGGCCAAGGCCTAAAGGTCCCACTGTGTCGTCGTATGCAGCGGTGGCAACTCGTGTATCCGGGAGCACCTGGTGTCGTTCATCTGGCAACGAGTCTATGCAGGCCCGGATCCTCAGCCCTGAACCGAGAGTGGGTGTTGGTGCGAGCCAGATAGATGCGAGCACTAGGCGCGCTGGGGGTGGAATATGCTTTGACGCTTTTGCCTTTGGTCTTGATAGTGCTAGATGAAGGAGATCGATATTGACATAGATGAAATGAATGGTTTTACATTTGACTGGCCTCGCCGCTTAGCGTGAAGAGCATGAACGACTGGAAAAATCGCATGTTTGATAATGAGAGCTCGACCTCAGGAGAGTGCAACTAAATGGGCGACATCCGCCTGTCTCAGTCGAAGATTGATCGACTATTAAGAAAAATGAAAGAAGGAAATATGTAATGAAACGAGTATTATCAAACCAATGAGCTGGAGACTTACGCTGCTCAAGTCTGGAGCTGCTTAATCAGAAGCAGCTGAGCATATTTGAATAGTCCCAGAGAACCGTCCAGAGGGCGAAGCCACGCGTGTAGCCACCGTGGCGCGTCTATGTGCTGCACACACATACATGGTACCTCTGGTGGAGCCAAGCACCGAGAGAGCTAGTAGGGTTTCAATCCAGGAGAACGGCGAGCGGCTGATACCTGGGCTTGGCGGACACTAACCCCAGTTGGGAACTATTGGCCAAATGTTTCGGGGGGCACGTCCAGGTACCTGTAATCATCCACCACACCATTACGGCCAGGCCAGGTCGTCAACTCGAGCGCCTCAACAACTTCTCCTTTTCTTTCCACCACATCATATCATCACTGCCCCAGTTCGCCTGCTTTCATTTCTCTCCCCTTCGTTGCTTTCAAACAAAAACACCGCCACCATGCGGCTCAGGTCCCGACCCTTGCCCTTGATCCTCCTCCTCATTCCCTCCCTGGCTGCAGCCCTAGCGTCCGAGCAGACGATTCACAACGAGCCACGAGCAGTCGCCGCAGACATACCAGTAGCAGAGATCGCCAAGCGACAAGATGTTGGCACCAAAGGCGCGCCCGTCGACGGCAGGGATGGCATGCCGCATCAGGGCCCCTTTGTCGACAGGAACCACAACACCGATGACCTCGTGAAGGACCTTCCACCCCTCGAGGGCAGGCCTGACGATCCCACCATTGTTGACGGCAAGCGCATTCCCGAGACGAACGACGGCGTCATGAACGACCGTGACCGCCAGAAGCCAAAGGAGGGCACCATTGGCACCGAGGGCGGCGTCAGCGAGAAGGACAAGGCGCGCAAGGCCGGCGATAACGTCCCCGAAGCCCCCAAGACTCCCTCGCCCAGCGACCAGGACCGCCCGGAGCATGAGCACGAACACGGCACGGCTGATGAGGTAGCTGGCCTAGGCGTGAGTACTCCCTTCCCCCCTCCGTCACCAAACTTCTGTACTTATAAATATCCCTGGGGTGCTAACCTTACTTCTCCCCCCAGAAACCGGCAGACCTTCCCAAGTCGCTAGACGACATTCCCCCTCCCGTTCCCGACTCTGCCAACAAAGACCACCTCGATGTCTCCAAGTCGCATCCCAAGGGTTCGAGCGCACTCGAGGAGGAGGATGAAGGCATCATTCAGCCCTTCCACTCCTTCGTCCTCTCTCTCACCATGATTCTCGTCTCCGAGGTTGGCGACAAGACCTTCCTCGTGGCTGCCTTGATGGCTATGAAGCACGATCGCCTCGTTGTCTTCTCCGCCGCGTTCGGCGCCCTCCTCGTCATGACTGTCCTTTCCGCCGTCCTCGGCCACGCCGTCCCGACCCTCATTCCCAAACGCCTGACCTCGTTCGCCGCCGCCGGTCTGTTCTTTGTCTTTGGCGCCAAGCTGCTACGCGAAGGCATGGCCATGGACCCTAACGAGGGCGTCACTGAAGAGCTCCACGAAGTCGAGCGCGAGCTCGCCGAGAAGGAGAAGGAGAGTGCCGCCGCCGGCCGGCGACGCGGCAACTCGCACTCCGTTTCTCCCTACGCCCTCGAGATGGGTCTCGGCGACGGCGACCACCGCAAGTCGCGCTCCAAGAGCCGTTTCCCCTCCCCGCCACGCTCCCCATCCTCCAGCCGATCCCGCAGCCGCTCGGGTGGCCGCTATGCCTCGGCGGCCAACTTCTTCCAGGGGCTCGGCAACCTGTCTTCCCTGCTCCTGAGCCCGGCCTGGGTGCAGACTTTTGTCATGACCTTCCTCGGCGAGTGGGGCGACCGCTCCCAGATCGCGACCATTGCCATGGCCGCTGGACAGGACTACTGGTGGGTTACGCTCGGTGCCATGACGGGACACTGCGTCTGCACCGGCGTGGCGGTCATCGGCGGTCGCGCCATCGCCGGTAAGGTCAGCCTGAAAGTCGGTGAGTCAACCCATCTCCTGTGGACCCGTGCTGTCCTCCCTTTCTCTGATGCGATGAACGCTAACTCTTTACAGTCACCATCGGCGGCGCTCTTGCCTTCCTCCTCTTCGGCTTCATCTACTTCATCGAAGCCCTCTACGCATAGTAGTTTCGGGTACAGGTACATTGCATACAGCTCAGCGAACACCCTCTTCACGGCCGTCCAGACAAGGAGTTTTTTCCTTCTTTGAAAAGAAGAAAAGAAGAACAGAAAAATGGGCAGGAAAGCTTTGCCTTTCCTCCATGACGCGTTTCACAATCGTTGAAATGAAATCCCATCCCTCACTTTGCGCCTACCTTCATCAAGGTTGTCGATACCGACCGTAGAACTTGGCCAACACGCGCTCGTTTCGTTCCCCGTTTTCCACCTCAGTAACCACGAGAAACTTCTTTTTTTTTCTAATGCATTACAAAACAACACGTACATGCATGCTGGTCATCCATATGCTTCTTTTCCACCTTCTCTCTCAGCGAGATGAGATCAGACGCGAGGGGGCGCGCGCGCGGGGGGCAGTGGGGGCGACGCGACGCAAGGGGACTGGCTAGTAAAGTAGGGGGCTGTCAGTGTCCAGGGCGTGCAGAGCAAAGGCGCTGGTGGGTTACCCATGGAGGGAAGGGACGGGGATGACAGCAGGCGAGAGCTGCGTGGCTTGTAATATATGCGGGTGCGATTTCCCCATGGCTTTTCAACCCCATGTGTAAATGATGGGGGGAACCGCCGGGCCGGCGGAGTTTTTCGGGTTACAGGCATCTAGGCCTTGTGTATATTTCAATGGCTGGACTGGGTAGACAAGAGATGACATGACAACGACTTCCGAAAACGTGGCGGGTGTCTTTGACTGAGTGATCATAGAACTGACTAGTAAACCCAACAAAATAGCATGGCGTCGCTGGAGGCTAGTCACATGTACCTGTGGTAGGGCTTGAATAGCGAACAACTTATTCATGAAACCATTTGCGACATGTTTGCGCAAGATGGCACTCCAATTTAGGTACGGTGGTTTGTATCGTATGCTGTATACTGTTGTCTGCGCCCTTTGGCACTGGTGTGTGTATGAACTCCCGGACTTGTCCAATGTATAATGCTAATGCTGACGCAACGCCAAAAGAAATCAACCCCCATAACGCCAGAAATGCGTGGAAAGTGGTCTCCATGCTTCTTGGCCACGTCCCCAACACGCTGGCCTCCCAATGCAACAAGGCCCCGTCTAAAACTTCTCCATAAAGTTCTTCCGCACAGTCCACATACGGGCACGTTTGCCGAAGATATACATGGGGATCGAGAACAGACAGAAAATTAGCTGAATGACGCCGAGCCAGATGAACATAGTCTTCGGCCCGTCAGATGCCATCCAGTGAGTGACGAACAAACTAAAGACAAGTCCGTGTAGAATGTTCTTGCTAAAGTTGAGCGTGACCAGAGCCTCGCCGGCATACTGTCGGTAGCTGTCAACGCAATATGTGATGGACGTGGTAGAGCCCATGGTGCAGCCGAATGAGATGACACCAAAGAAGAACGTGGGCACCATCCAGTGATCGCGTTCTTCTGCTGACCATCCAAACCCCATCAACCCTATGACGGTGCTGAGGAGGATAGGAATTGCCATGATGAGGCGGAATTCGGGCTCGTAAAGGCCCCCGTTGCGACGTGCCAGCGCCCTAACGATGATATCGCTTACTTTACCGGCCACAACGGTGCCCAAGATGCCACCAACAAACGGCGAGATGTACACGAGCCCAGTCTGAAGGGCGGTGAAGTTGTACGAGTCCGAATTCCGATAGATCACGCTCATCGTTTCCGAGATGACGATGAGCCACCCCACAGAGCAAGAGTAGATGACTGTAGACCAGAGAACAGAGGGATACGCAAAGAGGATGAAAGGCCGAACCATGACCTTCAGCCATTTGTCGTGATTGAGACGACCATTCCATGGGTTGAGCTGCTCGGTAAAAGACCTTGCGGGTTGGTGTCGCAGTGTGTGGGTATACGCAGTCGATTTCGGCGGACCTCTCGAGTCTGTCGGGAACTTTTCGCTATCAATTCCAGGTCCTCTGGCAAAGTAATCGGAGCCTGAGGTGGAGCCGTGGCCCGTGGTTGAGGGTGAAATCTGCCCGCTGAGCGTCAAAAGGGCGGTGTTTCCCCGGTGGTGGGTGTGGGCAGTGCGGGCAGAGGTTGGTCTTGCGTTATCATCTTCTGGATGAGCTTGTTCAGGAGCTGTTGCATTCGGAGCCATGCCGGTGCTGACGCTTGTCTCGCCCACTTGCTCGATAGATTCATTAGGAGCAAACCCGACATGTAGGTTTTTGTGTTGATGTCCAGAGGGTGTTGCGATGGAGGGTGAGGCAGGAATGGCATTAGTCTGGCCCTTAGATGGGGTCGCGGTCTCGTCGACTACTGCCACGGGTACGGGCTGCTGAGGTACGTTTCGCTGTGATGACAGACGACGAATGAAGCTCGGCCGTCTCGATGGTTTCCTGGACTTTGGGTGAGGTGTTCTGTCCCAAAATGTCTCCGGTACGAATAGAAAGAGGGCAAAGAACCAGACGGCAACAATGATAGCTAC